TCCTCTAACAGTAAAATGCTATCAACAGGACATTTATTCTTGCCAAGATTGCTGACATACCTACTTTAAAAGATTAGGTGTTGCATGCGGTTCTTGTGTAGACTAATTTTATTTTATAAACTGCAGAAAATTTTCACAAGAGTTTCTGCTCCTTATCTAGGGATTAACACCAAACTCCTGCCAATATTTTTCTTAACCTTTACACGTGCCCTTTCACAAACACTCTCCCTCACATATTTTCTGCTTAGATGCACCTCCTTTAAAAAAAATCCCTGAGCTTCTAAAAGTCTTAGGTAAGAATCAACCACAGGCTGCATGCGCAATTCCACTCTGCTTCTCTGCCCCATGTGTCCAGCCGCCCCCCCGCCCCCCCCCCCGCGCCCCCCCCCTCCACCCAGCTGTGAAGATTTGAATAATTGGTGCAACAGACCTGGATGATCCAGAAATCTTAGAAGGAAGAACTAAGAAATGTGTGCTTTGGTGAGCCTTCTGATGCTTTAATTTTGGGGAAGATAGAGAATGTTGATTACGTCCTCTTTGCAAGGTATGGGAGGCAGCGTACCACCATGCCTTCAGAAGCCACCTGGGCTCTGAAGGAGGAGGCTGGATTCGTGTCGCAGTGCCCACAGCTTGCAGTTCCTTGAGGGAAGAGCATCAGCCCGGCGATGTTATTGACCAGTTTATCCCAGGACTACCATGAGGGACTCCTGTGATGGGAGTTGCTCCTGTGCCAGAGGAGTGTGCCCTCCCCCAGAGGCTGAGCTGCTCTGCCCCCTACGAGAGGTCCTCCCTCTCAGAGATGGCTAAGAAGCTAGGACTCGGGTGCCACTCAAGAGGGACAATGCTCACGACTGAAGGACTCGTTATAGTTCACGGACAGAAAGCTCCATGTGTCCCACCTAAGGGGGCGGATGTCATCAACATGACCGCAGTTCCAGAGGTGCTTCTTGCTAAAAAGGCTGGACTTAGCGGAGCAAGTATTGCCATGGCAACAGATTAACATTGCTGGAAGGATCAGAAGTGGTTTCAGGGGGCCAGGAGTTAAGGCCCTGAAAAAAGAGATGCCAATAAAATTTACTCCTCGCTGCCCTACCTCAGAGAGGGTCCATGGAATGGTCCGAAACCACCCCTGACCTGAAGGATAAGGCCATTTCTCTGTGCTATTACATTAAAATAGCATGGCTGCCCAGGAGATAAGGAGACCTTCTCATTCTAGTCATTTGGGAAATCCCTGCTCGATTAGGAATGCGGAGAAGCTCTCATGCCCTTGCCCGCTAAGGAAGAGCCGGTGGTCAGACCATACCAGGCCCGTGTGGATGATGCCTTCTGAAAGGCAGGAACTGCTTCAAGAACAGAGGGAAAGCCAACATCCAGGCAACCTCTGGAAAAATTCCACCATCTCAGAAGAAAGACAAGAACACACCATCCCTCTTCCCTCATTAAATTCATGACAATAAAGGGAGGGGGTGACATCCAATGTCCTATGTCACCAAGGAACATGAAGACAAAACTAAACTATTGGTATCACTGTAAATCGGTACAATCTCTCTGGAGGGCAGTTTGGTGAAATGTATTAAAAGGCTAAAAAGTGCTTACACTTTGCTATGAAGGTGACTGTATTCCTCTGATCTTTAAAAAATTAAAAATGCACACACAGAACTATATATAAAGCAGGATGTTTAATATAGTGTTGGTTTTAATAGCGAATGTTCAAAACAAACAGAATATCCAAAAATTGGAGATAAATGATGGTTTCGCTCTAATCAGATTGTGAAGCAGCCAACTGAAGATCATGTTTTTATACACTATTTCATTCATGTCCTAAAGAATTGGTTGCTCTACACTATAAAATGAAAAGAAAAAAAACCCCGATATGTAAGCATCTTAGAGTACTAATTTTGTTTCAAAATTCTAATTAACAGGCTCACACACATGGCTGATGTGTTTATAAATGCACACGCACACACACAAAGGCTAGAAAAAAATAATCATTTGTTATTGTATTTTGGGGGTATCCTGGATAATTTTAATTTTTTTAATATTTTTTCCTTCACATTTTTCCCCACATGAATAGACTCAAATAGTAAAGTTATTTCAAAAATAAAAATTACTTAGAAGGAAAAAAAAGAACTACATAAGGACAACCACAACGTGAGAGGAATTAAACCGAGCACTTTCATCTCTGCTTACAAAAAAGCAGGTAGTAATTTATTCATACGCAGCCTTTGTTCCCGCACTAAAGACCGAGGCTCTTCCCTCTCTTCCATTTCTGAGAGCTGGGGAGAGGAGGGGGACACATTTCCAGGAGCGGCCAGGCCGCTCTCCCCAGGAAGGGCCCCAGTGCCTGTAGCAGTTCATTTGTGAGCAAAGACCCTGTTGGGAGCCTTCCACCCACCCTGAAAGCAAACATCCTTAACAGGCCCTATTAGTGTGGTGCTGAAAAAGGGCATGCTTTAACCCAAAAGGCGTCATTTTATGAACAAAAACTGGATAAGCCTGAAGAGCCTGGAAGTGGCTATTTTTTGTCTTCCTGGATGCCCAGATCTTCCCAGGTGAGGGTGACCTCACCCCCACGGGGAGGCTCAGGCCCGGGAGGATCAGAGCCGCGGCTGCAGAGTGCAGCCGGTGACTTCCTCCTCCTGGGGCGGGCCGTCTGTCGCTGGCTTGCACCCTGTGTATCTGTGAAGCACACCAGCCATGTGTGCGAGCCTGTTAATTAAAACAAAAACACAACTGTTTCTGTGGGGCTTCAGAAGTGCAGAACCTTCGGGCCGAAGAAGGGAAGGAAAACAGCAGCCATCCAGGCTACTGCTGGGTCTCCAGGGCCGCCTGAGAATGAGGCAGCTGTACTGTGAAAAGCCAGGAAACAGCACCTGAATTAAAGAAGAGAGGCAGGTGGGAAAAAACCCCCCAAAACAACAACAAAAAATCGGAAGTATTTAGAATGCCTTTATCATTTCCCCGAGGGACTGTTTGGTACCAAAGTGCCTGGATAGCGAAGGCTTCTCAGTCTAATCTGATTCCAAAGTCGGCTTCTGGGACGAGAGGGAAGAACAGCTTCTGTGTCTTCCGAGGCTCTCCCTGGGGTGAGGCCTGCAGTCTGCTCCTGCCAGAGCTGCTGAGTCACGGCCACCTCGGGGAGTCACCTCACTTCTGGCTCAGGGGACCTGGAAGGGAGAAGGAAGCTCACAGCCGAGGAATGTTCCGTAGGCCAGGCCCTTGCTATTATCTGGACTTTCCCAGCCACCTGGACCCAAGGGACTTAGGTATTAATAATTCAGATAAGGTTCATCAGGATGATACAGAACACTAATCAGTTTAAACACTCGCACACACACCTCACTGAATTCTTCCCAAGAAAAGCAGACCTTCTAGTTCTCTTTGGAATCCTTCACCTCTGAAGGGAAGTAAAAACATGGATCAGATAGCAGCTTTTTAGAAGCGATGCTTATTCTGTACCTTCAGTCAGTTATCCAGAGCAGGATGTGAAAAGGCTTAAAGGAGTATGTGGTGGGTGGTGTGGAGAGAGGCAGGAAGCAGTAACAACAGAAAAAAAAAAAAGAAAAGAAAAATTAAGGGACAGTTAAGGCATTCATCATACCTTTTTTAGAAAATACTATGAAAAAGAGGCCTCCATAAAAAGATGTATGCAGACTTTAATAGCTGATGATAGCTCAATGGATGTTTCTTTCTTTTCAGATTTAACCCATCTTGGAATTAATAATTATTCAAAGTGTGTATACTTTTTTGTGGATTCCCTGTAGACCATCTCTTCCTCTTGGAGAGACCCATCCAATGTGTCCCTCTACACCTTGTTTCCACACCACTAAAGCTTAATTTTTTTTGGCTTACCGATATATATAGGCACTATAAACTAAATAAACATTCACTTGGTATTTAAAAAAAAATTTATTTTGTGATCTGTACATGTGATAAAGTGGGCTTCCTTGTAGACTTTTAAAGGCAAAACAAAACAAAAAATCCAAAGTAAAAATGTATAAATACAATATATATTTTTCTTACAAAAATGGGAGATTTACAAAATATACATACCGCACTTGTCTCTATCTTACAAATTTCACATGCAAGAGATACAACACAGATGCCAAAGAACTGCATGGTGGGAATTTTAAAAATCTGACAAATGAGACAGTTTTGGAGGTTTAAGAAACCCACGGTCAATAACTTTAATATAAAAAGCAGCTCCAACTCGGCTGAACATTATAGAAAGTAACTTGTATTCCTGAAGGTACCCCCTATGATTTAAAAACTGTTTAAAACAGCATTTTAAAACTGTTTTTGAGAAACGGGACAGTGTTGCAAGACCGGAGGGTGGTGTCAAAGGTGGAGTAAAGGTTAGCTCCCATGATCCTCTGTTCAGCTTTAGACCATTAGGCAAAAGGAACAGAGTTCCATTATAGAAAAGGAAAAAAAAAGTCCATGATTTAAGATTAATACATTTAAGTCATCCAGCACATTTCAAAGGCCTTCAGAATGACTTTGAAGTTTACCTTCTTTTAATGACTTTCTTTAAGAAGGGGGCCCAGGATTCGAACTGTCTTCTTCATTTACCATCATCTCTGTAGGTCACCTCCCCACCCAGCCAGACAAAGACAGGATCAGCATACACAAGATGTGTTCTAAATGGATTTATGGGGCTATGAAAACAGGACAAACATTTTTCTTTACTTTTCAAGTCCAACTTGCCTGTACTATGGAGGCTGAAGACATTATGCTCTTCCTTTTACCCAGGAGGGTTCAAGTTGGAGAAAAAAGACTAGAAAGAAAACCTAAAGGCAGGTTTATAGGAAGAAGAAAAAAAAGGAAGGGAGGGATTTCCCTTCCCATTTTCACAGAGCCCATGTCATTGGATCATGTGTTCTGAATAAAATGGATGTAAAACAATCAACAAACCCCTTGCATTTCCTTTAGCCAAGTCGGGATCTCTGACCCAGTGGGGGTATGGAACCACATTGCCTTTCACCTTTCCTTAAAAAGGAATGTTTATCTCCACCAAGTTAACCTCCGGAGAGAAGCCTCAGGTTTGCACTACCTCGCCTGTAAGATTGGCTGTCTTCACAGTTATGCCTTTCCACAGAGAGACTTTTGTTCCCTCTTTTGTCTCTTACAACAAAGACAAGGGGGGGGGGAAATGCACTCGTTTTGAAAAGCAACAAGTCAACACTTCTTTGCATGGCATTAAACAAAATAAAACACCCTTCTCTCTTCCTCCTGCTTTCCCCAGGAAAAAAAAAAAAAAAAAAAAGCAAAAATACCTCCTACTCCTTTGCACCATCTCCAAAGGCTATCTTCTTTTGCATCCTCACATTAGGATTCGAGGAATCACATTAGGACTTCCAAATGCTTATTTCATAAAACTTTAAAGGAGTGAGAGGGGGAAAAAAGCAACAGGCGGGAGGGGGCAGGGGAGGAGAGGCTGCGGACTGTAATGCCTGACCCTGTTAATTAACCCATCTGGGCTCCAGTTTGGCCCCAGTGAAAAGAGATTATGGTTTGACCACCGCTTGACAAGGGCACCGCAGGGAGTCCACCCTTTTCCAACAAAGCGGCCGCAGCAGACCGAGCTGTACCTTTCACCAGGGCCTCCCGGGAGGGAGGGAGCGAGGCCAGGCCGCTGGTCTTGCAGCCGGGGGATCGCTCCCAGCCCCAGGACAGCCAGAGCTGGGAGGAACTGAGTATTTGTCTGTTGGTCTCGCTTCTGCATAGGCCCAGGGCGTCCGTACCGCACACGTGAGAAACCCCATCGTTATCAGAATCATCATCACCATCATCATCCTGCAAGTCTTTGCCAGAAGTCCTTCCATCCAAACCGTCTTCCCACTCAGGCCTCCTTCCCACACCTCGTCCCACATCCACATCCACCTTTTCCCCTTCCAGGTCACTTCTCCTTGGAGGGGGAGGGGGCTACAGGAAGAAGCCCCCCCTCCCCCAGAAGTTCCTTCCCTCTATTAAGGAGTGTGGGGGGGAGGGAGAGAGGAAATGGGGGGAGAAGGGCTCATACCGCAGTCTCCCCCTTGCTGCTGTGGCTGAGTCTGTGGTAGAAGCGGCGCCACGACTGCAGGGTTTTGCCCGACCAGATCCAGAAGCCGGTGGTGATGCCCACGATCATGGTCATCAGGTACTTGATCATGAAGACGGTGAAGTCGGGGCTCATGGGCGGGAAGTGGCCCGGTGGGCAGGGCACGGCGTAGCTCTTGCAGGTCTGCAGGAGCCAGGTGCGCTCCCAGTGCTCGCGGAAGGCCTGCTCGTAGAAGTAGCAGGCCAGCACGATGGTGGCGGGCACGGTGTAGAGCACGGAGAACACGCCGATGCGCACCATGAGCTTCTCCAGCTTCTCCGTCTTGGTGCCGTCGTGCTTCATGATGGTGCGGATGCGGAAGAGCGACACGAAGCCGGCCAGCAGGAAGGACGTGCCGATGAAGAGGTAGACGAAGAGCGGCGCCAGCACGAAGCCGCGCAGCGCGTCCACGCTGGACAGGCCCACGTAGCACACGCCGCTGAGCAGGTCGCCGTCCACCTGGCCCATGGCCAGGATGGTGATGGTCTTCACGGCCGGCACGGCCCACGCCGCCAGGTGGAAGTACTGCGAGTTGGCCTCGATGGCCTCGTGGCCCCACTTCATGCCGGCCGCCAGGAACCAGGTGAGCGACAGGATGACCCACCAGATGGAGCTGGCCATGCCGAAGAAGTAGAGCACCATGAAGAGGATGGTGCAGCCCTCCTTCTTGGTGCCCTGCGCCACCGTGCGGTAGCCGTCCTCGGAGAAGCGCTCCACGCACACGGCGCGGTCCTCCAGCAGGAAGCCGGCCACGTGCGCCACGGCCACCATGAAGTAGCAGCCCGACAGGAAGATGATGGGCCGCTCCGGGTAGCTGAAGCGTCGCATGTCCACCAGGTAGGTGAGCACCGTGAAGAGCGTGGAGGCGCAGCACAGCACGGACCACACGCCCACCCAGAGGCGGGCGAAGCGCCGCTCCTCCTCCTTGAAGTACATGAGGCCGTTGGCGCGGCCCGGCTCGCACGGGGCGCCGCAGTCGCGCTCGCCCAGGAAGCGGTAGCCCAGGTACGGGGGCACCTTGAGCTGCCGCGGGCACGAGAAGGGGAAGGAGGCTCTGCCCCGGCTGTCGGCCGCCCCGGGGGCCGGCGCGGTGAAGGGCAGGTCGGGCAGGTAGGCGGGCGCGGTGGGGTAGGCGGTGGCGCCGCCGCCCGGGCCCCCCGAGCCGTCGGACGTGTTCTGGCCCACGCAGATCTCGCCCGCGCCGTGCACCGGGAAGTTCTCGCAGCGCAGCCGCTCGGGCCACTGGAAGCCGAACTTGTTCATGAGCGCCTCGCAGCCCTGGCGCGCGCGCTCGCACAGGGAGCGGCACGGCGGGATGGCCTTGTCCAGCACGGTGCACACGGGCGCGTACATGGAGCACAGGAAGAAGCGCAGCTCCGGCGAGCACTGCACCTTCACCAGCGGGTAGAACTGGTGCACCTCGAGGCCCGCGTCCTCCTGGTTGGTGTGGCCCAGCAGGTTGGGCAGGATGGTCTGGTTGTACGCGATGTCCGTGCACAGCGGGATGGAGATGAGCTGGCAGAAGCCGTGGTCCGGCACCGAGATGCCCTTCTCGCCGTGGTACGGCTGCGCCCCGGCGCCCGCGGACAGCGCGCCCAGCAGCGCGAGCACCAGGGCGCCGAAGCCCGCGGGGGAGCGCGGGGTGGCCGCGCCGGCGCCCCGCATCGCCGGCCGTGGGGGCAGCGGCGCTCTCAGCCGGAGGATCGCGACGAGGCCGCCGCCGAGGGAGGCTCGGATCCGGGGAGGCGCCGCCGCGCCCGGCGCATGAGAGTCCTCCCGGCGCCGGGGCCGGGCCGTGGGCGGCGCGGAGCCGGGGGCGCCGCGGCCACCTCCGCCTGGCAGTCCCGCCGCCGCCGCCGCCGCCGGGGGACCAAACTCCTCGGCTTCTCCTCCTGCGGCGACGTAACGGTGCGGCTCCCTCTGCGGCGAGGAGCAACAAGCGTCTCCGGTTACTCCCCTGGAAAGTTTGCCCAAGTCTCTGGAATCCCGGCGCACAGCGGCGCGCGCCCCCCGCCCCAAGCCCGGCCCCCGGCGGCGAGGACCCGGCGCCGCCGCCCGCGAGCCAAGGCCGCCGCGGCGGCGGGGCTGCTCCGCCTCCTCGCCTCGGGGCTCCGCTCGCCGCCTCCTCCTCCTCCTCCTCCTCCTTCGCCTTCTTTTCAACTCCCCGCTCTTTCTTCAGCCCCAAGTTTCAGCCAGATCGGCCGATTCTCGCTCTGAGTCCAATCGGCGCCTTGGAACCCAGGGCTCAGGGAGTTCTCTTCCGAAATCCAGCGACGCGGAGTCCGAAGCTGCGAGGTCCCGGTGCCCGCGCGGCCTGGGCCCGGCCTCTCCCCAGCCCTGAGCAGCCCCGGCCCGTGATCCCGGCGCCCCGCGCCCGCCGCCGCCGCCCGCAGGGAGCGCAGAGTAACGCCGGAGCCGCGCCGCTCGCCAGAAGAAGCGCCGGGCTCGCCGGGTCCCGGGTCGCCCCGCCCCCTCCCCTCCCCCCATTCACAAACCACTGCGGGGGCGGGCCCTCGAGGCCCGGGGCTGCCCAATGGGAGCCTTTGTTTCCTGCGCGGCCGCCCTCGGATTGGGCGGAAGTCGGAAGGGGGCTGGCGAGAGAACACGAGAGGCGGCGCCGGCACTGCTCTGGGCGGATTCCTGCGGGGAGGGGTGGGGGTGGAGGGGGGAGCTGGGAGAGAAAAGTTAAAAACTTTTTATCCCCGAATTCGCTCGGGTGTTGGGGGGTTACTCGCACCAGAAAGGGAGTTTGCTGGAAAGATGTGTTCCTCTTCTCTGGGTGCACGAACACATCCCTGAATGGCGCATCGGGAGAGACTTTTGCGGGGAGGAACGGAGAATAACGCCTGAGCAGAAAGAGAGTCCGGGTAGCCGTTCTGGGTCTGAAAATGCTGGGTTTCTCCGGACTTTTAGGCAGCCGGGTCCTGCAAGTAGGATTTGGTTAAGGGGTGAAGGGGGTGTACCTCGCAGATCGCTTTTCTCTCCCCAAACCCCAACACACCACGTGAGGCCACATCCCCTCTCCCCCCCTAACTCCGGGTTGTAAAAAAAGGAGGAGGGGCCGTATCGAGGAGAAAAGGGAGCCGAGAGGAGGAAAGGCAGACCCCTCCTCTGAGAGCGGCGGAGCCGGGGCCCCCGGCCCCAGACCACCCCGCCCGCGCGCGGCCCGGAGCGCAGGGACCTGGCGTCGCTTTGGTGAAGTTGTAAGAAAGCTAAGCATCGGGGATGCATGCTTATGCAAGTACCCCGAGACCGAGTGCCTAGGAACACGCTGACCGTTTCAATGGCCCTGTTTTCCCTAGGACTTGGGGAGTGTGGCCATTTGGGACCCCATCTCAGTGGCCAGAAGCAATCCTCGGATCCTCTGTTTGGTATCCGGGAAGAAAAGTTTTAATGCGTGTTAGAAAAACGGGGCATTTGCTAAGGAAAGCGTTTTCAAAAACACAAAGAAAGGTCCTGTTAGTTCTCGGGTAGCATTTTTTTTTCTTTTTCTGATGGGCAAGCGTCCTTTTGTTCTGTCAAATCTTCTCCCCGCTGCAGGCTCTGGGCGCCAGCGCGCGCTCTCGGGTCACTCCGGCGAGGCCAGAAGTTACCGCGGGCGGGGGTCCCGGCGCCTCCCCAGGAAGATCAGGGATCCCCACGCAGGAGAGTGACATGTTGGGAAAGGAAAGACCTGCCTCTCTGTGTCACACACACAGGCACACGCACACGCAGTCACAGAGCAATCCTGTACTTAAAAAACGTGACTCCTGTCGAGTCCTTCCTCCTGGCGCTGGCCCCGAGGGCTTTCTGATCCGGCTTTGTGATTGCAGAAGTTGTTGCCTCTGCTGCCCCCGGGGAGCCTCTTCCCCAGCCAGGAGAAAACGGATCCTGAAACCTAAGACAATTCATTGGGTTCGTTCCCTTTCAAGGGAGACTTTGGCTTCCTCGGTGTTTCTTTGATTTTCTTTATTTTCACACAGGTCTTTGTGACTTCTCACTCCCGTTCCTGGGTCTGGAGGGCTGAGTCACCTGGGCCCACGTAAGGCATCCGACGCTCCCATTTTTCCCATTGGACCCTCAGCAGGAATCCTCATCATTTTCTTCCAAAGCATCCGTCTCCCCCTCACATCCACGACGGTATTTTTAATTTACTTGGGGGTTTCTGCTTCACGAATTAATGACATTTGCTTCTAAAATGTTTCGTTCTTTCCTTGTATTTTTTTTTTTAAGGGCTCCTCTTTTTTCTTCCTAAATTGTTATTCTTATTACCTAACCTTGGGGAGCATTGATGCTGTGTTGAAAGATGTTGCTTAAAGACAGTGCTGCCGCTTTGCTTTGTCATTTAAAGTGTGTGGTGGTGAGGGTGGTGATGGGAGGAGTGGGGGGTTGAAAATCCTTTTTTCTCTTCCAGAGCTTCAGGATATCCTCCTTTTCTAAATCAAATTTTCTTGCTTATTCATCAGGCCCCTGATCTAAATCATTTTTGCTTATTGTGGGAGAAATTGCAAGCTCTGTCATCACATAAAATGAAAACCGACAGGATAAAACACTGCGTCTCAAATACAACTGAAACCAGTTTAGTTGATGAGCTTCTATTCAGTAGACCCAGACAGCTCCCTGGTGTTAGGTAATAGGGCTAATTATTTAGAAAGAAAAATACAAAAGATGAATCAAATATTTTAAAATGAATCCACTCATAAGATGCGGAAAGCCCATCCCAGGTGGGAAAGATCACAGAGGGGGCGTCTGCTTGCTGTGTCCCAGGCAGACAAGTACAAAAAAACAGAGAAGCAAAACCCAATCCAGTAGAGACTGTTTTGTTTTTAAGATGATTTTAAAAAACCCACTCCAAAATTATTCTGGAAATATCAGAATTTGCTCTTTGTGAGAGGGTGGGGTTGGCTTCCAAGCCTCCAGGAGATAAGTTAGATCAGGAAAATGAATTCACAATTTAAGGGGCTAAAGAGTCTGTGTTAGCCTCTCTGAGAAATGTAGAATCATTGGTTCACATTCTGACCAGGGTCCATCGAATGTTCTTTTCCAAACAACACCTTCCACACCCAAAGCCTCTAGCCGGTATATTCTTTGGTGAGCTGAGGGTGGAAAGTTTTGTAACTGTCTGCTGCAAAACTTCCAATGGTCCCTGCCCTTTAAAACAACAAAGGCTTTTATTTCTTCACGTCACAGCCATATGGTCCCAGGGAAAAGTGATGCTACTACACATTGGCCCCAGTTATTTCAGTGCTACTTTTTTTGGCCGAGTCCCAGGTTCATCTAGTTGAATTGCATTCTGATGCCAGGCCAGATTTGAAAATGGCCACCTTGGTGGTGCCACAATCCTGTGGTTGTAGCGAGACTCCAGCTGCAAGAATTACTCATGCAAGACCAGAAAGGGCAGCTTGTAGCATAGCGTCTACTTCCCTTTCTGGCCTCTCTTTTACCAGATAATTTGTGACTTCACAGCATAGAGGACTTCTGAGCTTCCCGTTGCCAGGTTGCCATCGACTTACTTTCTTTCAATATAGCTTGAGGTGGGGGACCAATCTAATAGAAGATCATGGAACGGTCTTATCATTAAAGTAGACCTTCAAATGTAATGAACATTAGAGATGGAGTAAGAGGAGGCCATGCTAACGTCCTGTTAGGAGTGCGAGGCCCCACCCAGTGGAGGTGATTTAGATCATGAAAATGTTTAACTATTGCCTTCGTTGCTTGCAGGTTGCATTAGTTATCTGTTGTCATATAACAAATCACCTCAAAACGTAACAACTTAACACAACAAACGATATTGCAGTTTCTGTGGGTCAGAAATCTGGGTGTACTTAGTGGGTCTTGGGGTCTCCCACGAGACTACAACCAGAGAATGGGTTGGGACTATAGTTACATCAAGGTTTGAGTTGAGGAAGATCTGCTTCCAAGCTCACTCATGTGGCTACTGGCAGGCCTCAGAGTATCCATTTCCAACCCATCTCATGGCCGTTGGCAGGCCTCACGTTCTTGCTAGCTGTTGGCCAAAGACATCAGTTCCTTGAGATGTGGACATCTCATAAGGCCACTTAAAACATGGTACCTTGTGCCCTGGCCACTGTGGCTCACTTGGTCAAGCATTGTCCCTGGCACTGAAAGGTCGCCAGTTCAATTCCTGGTTGGTGGTTGGGTCACATGCCCAGGTTTTGGGCTCAATCCCCAGGTCAGAGTGTGTTTGGGAGGCAGCCAATTTCTCTCTCTCTCTCTCTCTCTCTCTCTCTCTCTCTCTCTCTCTTTCACTCTAAAATCAATAAAAACAATATTAAAAAAAACATTCTGGATTAGTTTCCTCAAGAAAATAAATTACATAAATAAAAAATTTAAAAAATGGCACCTTGTTCCCTCAGAGCAAGTGCTGAGAGAGAAACAGAGAGTGAGAGCGAGAGCAAGAGCGAGAGGGAGAGCGAGAGTGAGAGAGAGAGAATGAGAGGCAGAGCTCTCTCTCTCAAAAAAAAAAAAATAGCAATGGAAGGCGTGGTCATTCTGTAAGCTAATTTTGGAAGTGACATCCTGTCACTTTTGCCATGTTCTATTCATTAGAAGCAAGTAACTAGGTTTATCCACCCTCAAGGGACAGCAGGGGCTACACGTAGGCATAAATCCATGGAAGGGCTAGGATCACTGGGAGCCAATTTAGAGACTGTTTTACCACAAGTATTATTCATTCACTCCCAAAGTGTTATGGAAATGAGGCCAGAGAAACAGCTCTTGAGTCTCTGCCCTCTGGGAGTCCAGAGAAGGGTTCACAAATGAAACCATATGTTGATTGGTTATGACACGACTTGCCTCTGTTAGAATCAGAACAGAACTCTAACTCTGGCCAGCTGTTTTTTCCAACACATGCCATTGGACGAGAGGGAGAAAGAACGCAGAGGAAGTTGATTAATTGAAGACCACACACAACCCTGGGGGGGAAAGCCTCCAAGTGCAGAGGGTGGGATGATCTGGGTTGTGAAATCTATACTCAAAGGACCGAACATTAGAATATCGCATGTAGGAAGAGAGCTTGGGTATTTGGGTTGTGAGGTAAAAGTGCTGTTGGTAATTGCTACCCATGCCTAGACTGGAGGGTACAGATGTGTAGAAGGGAGTCAGAGGTAGTACACCAGTTTAGTTCTGCTTTTCAGCATTGATTTTCTGTCCAGAGACCAGTTTAGTTCTGCTTTTCAGCATTGATTTTCTGTCCTTTCTCAGACAAGTCACTAAAC